AAAATAAAGAACAATCTTTGAACCTCGTTTTCTAAAATCTTAAGCATGTAACAATCTCATGAATGCGTTGAAATGTCACATCCACGGTGTAGGGTGTAATCTTCTTAAGCATGTAACAATCTCACTGATGTTTGATGTATGAACAATGAAGTGAAAAACCTTGAATTGTCAACAAAATGTCAACATCTTTATTGGGTCGGTCCAACCCCATGTTGAATTGACCGAGTGGGCCCAGCCCACATGTTACAACATGCATGACATCAACATACAAGGTTTTGGGTTCTTCACCGTAAGATCGTACGGTCATTTTTTCTTTGTTTTTGCTCAAATTTTGGATGGTGATTCTTCACAACCAAGTCTACATATCTATCGGTACAGATTTTTGGTTTAAAATCTCCAAATTGTTTGATTTGATTGAGACCTAAACTTTTTCTTATTGGGATTGTTTTTGAAATCCATTTATTTTAGTGGTTATATTGTTATGGTGGATCAAGAGTATTTTATTTTTTGATGATTGTAAACTCTCTATTGAGAAAACTTGTATAAGTCACAAGAGCGGGACTACGAATGCTATGACGTGTGTAAGATATTTTAATATTTATATGTATACTAAATGCCATTATATAATTATGAAAAAATAAAAATGTAATTTCATAAGAACTAGAAAATGACTCGTCATCTTTCAAAATAGAAAGTCGAGAGTTCAAGTCTCCATAGATAAGGAAGGACTCATAATATTATGTGAGTGAGCGCAATAGTGAATTTTTAAAATAATTTCAGTGGGGGCAACAGTGAAATTTTATATAGATATATAATTAAAAAATAAAATTTTACCAGCGTATATTACTAAAAAAAAAAAATTAAATAAATAAATCAGCGGGAACAATTTGCCTAACTGTGTGTGTATTTCTTGTAAATTAAAATAAATAAATAAAAAAACAAAAAAAAAATTATTTGAGATATAAGCAACCTTATTTCAAGATGCATAATGTTATAAAAATTAAAATACAAAAAAACAAAAATTTATTTTTAAAGAAATGTGCCTTGAAATTATTATTTTAAAGGATTGTATAAATAAAATAAAACTAAAAAGTATCTATATAATTTGTTTGTAAATATATGTGTTGTATAATCTACCAATATATATATATATACACTGTACACACACCTTTAATACTTCAGACTTCAATAACAAAACAAAAAAGATCAAATATAAAGTGAACATTTCTAAACATTTGTATTGAGTATTAGGTACATTTTGATAATTTTCATCATAATAAATGTTTGTCCATAATTCAATGAATGAGAATTTGCATATTGAAGTTGAGAATTGACAAAATTGAATTTACGAATTATGTGAAGATAGTGTCAATTCGTACGCGAAGTGTGAGAGCCACATCCTTTATAAAAGATTATGTGATTTAGTTTGTCTACCCATTATTTTTATATGGTGAAATTTGAAATCGGACTTTAGTACCTTGCGTGTTTTTTCAACGTAAATTTTGATTGTATTTGGTTAATTTAGAATACTCATCCTAGTTTTTGTAATCACACAATCTTTGTCATTTTCTAAAATCTTGAGCATGTAACAATCTCATCAACAAATTGACATCCATGGGTGTAATCTTCTCAAGCATGTAACAATCTCATGGATGTTTGCTGTATGATAAACAATGGAGTGAAAAACCTAGAAATGTCGACAAAATGATATCCCTGGTCTGGAGTGTAATCTTTTCCTGGCCGGCTCAGCAAGCTATGGGCACATATCATAAGTTTGTAAATTCATATATAGCTTTAATATTTAAATTATTTAATCAAGTATGCTGCTGTACGTGGTCAAATTAAACCGTGATTTTTTATTTTTTATTTTTAATTTTTTTTTAATTTAATTAAAGTGTAGTCGTTAATAGTTTTATAGTTTTTATCAAACTGTATCTAAGTAATATCACCATCTTCGTTTTATATGGAAAAATTAAAAAAATGAGAGCACTGTCACTAACCTTCAGATTCATTGTGTTTGAATCACTTAGCGAAGTCTTTGCTATTAATAGTTATATATGATTCTTATGAAGACACAAGCTTACCAAAACAGCACTTATTATACACACACACACACACACACATATATATTTGTTTGGGTACATGGTTAATTAATTTGTATTAAAAAGAAAACAGGAATAGAAGTAGGGCGTTAGATGGTTACAAAAATACAGCCAAAAGCCACCCAAAGGAAGGCATATACACACACGTCAGTTGGATATATATGTACATCCACTTCATTTAGATGAAATTATTATTATTATTATTATTTTGGTAATTAAGGTATTTGAAATTAATGGTAGATTCAGAAATTGTCAATAAAGTGGGCTAATATTAATAATAAATTATTATTTTTGAATTAAATTGACTATATTTTTTAACAAATGAGCTTGAGCCCACTCCTAAATACACCCTTACTTAAAACTTTGTCCAACTAATTTTCGAAACATGTTTTTACATCCTTTCCATACAAATTAAGTAAAATTTGAACTTTTTTATGTGGATGTCATGACATGCGTGTTGATGTCCACGCAAGGGATGAAACCATGCAAAAACAAAGTCACCATCATCGACTGATCAAGCTTACATATGAACGGCTTCTATGAAAACTATTGATAAACGAATTAAATAACCAAACACATTTGTACATCAACATGAAGATTTAAATTTCCCGGTAAAATAAAAACACGTGAAGATTAATTAAGCTACAAAGACTACAATTAACAAATAATCATATTCCACCAGTTTTCATACACATATACAACCATCCATCCAGGTGAGGTGGTGATAAATTTTCTTTTTATATATCAAACATTAATGTATAACTGTACGAGTAGTCGACAGGGTAGATACCTTTTAATTATCCTCTAAATCTTCCACGTGGCATCATCCAAGCTGTGCCAGCTGGCGGGGGTGGTGTTTTGGATCTTGCCAACTTCAATTTACTGTTGGCACTCACTATGAATTCAGGTTTGACCACAACAAGCTCTATTCACAGTTCTATTACGAATGCAGCTAACTAGGACTTTTTATTTTAGATTTTGGAACGTTGTGAGTGGGATTAAGGAATAACTATGCTGCACGGGCGGCCAAAGAAAACGTCGAAGGGTACTATTGGAATTAAACAATATTTTGGGTGATCATGACAGAAGGATTATGGTAGCGTCTTTAGGGATATTTCATGTATACAGTAATACACTTATACACATGCCAATAAATTTGGGGATGCATGTTACAAGTAACTCAGTGCACGAGTCTGTATTAGTATTTTAAGGATTAAAATTTTTAATTAATATGCTCATTCTTCATTTGAAAATTGGAGGTTCTTTTTTTCTTATCATACACGCAACCTTTGAATCACAATGCAATAATCTCACGGTACTCTCATCAAATAATATCAAACATTAATAATCTCTAGATAGTAATTTTGTGTAACTCTAATACATAGTGGTCAACAAATACTCTTATCACAATAATAGCCATATCAATTAATAACAAATATTAATTACAGGCAGACAAAGTGAAAAAAACACACCTAATATTTAAATTTTGGACAAATATCACCCATAACTTTTATTTTTTATTTTTTATGTTTTATTTATATAAGTGAGTTAAGTTAGAAAAAATGATCAAAAAAGGGGGTTTGAGGTGGCTGTTTCGTTACAAATTTAGTTATGTGCATTACACATGATATTTTAAGATATAAAATTTCGAAAATACTATTTTCTCTTCTAATAATACCCTTAAAATATATATATATATATATTTGAATTTTAAGAACTTTTTATAATGTACAGGAGATTATACACTCTATATACATATATACATATCATAGGGATTTTTTTTCGCTCACTACCCATAATCATAATGAATGACTTTACCAATCTGAAGGGAAAAAAAGAAAAAAAGAGCGTTATTATATATGCAATATGAAAGCCGTCAGTCGTTTATGGATCAGACGAACAATGAAGAAATTTCCAAATGGTATCATATATATATATTTTAATGGGTTTTATTTTTTATTTTGGATATACTTAATCTGATGATCCTTTTTTTTTTGCTAGGTACAGTTTATGATATATACAACTGATAACTTACTGAATAATAATAATTATTATAATAATAATAAATTTTAAATAACCGAGTGTTCCTATATGGTGTGAGTTTGTGAAATGGTCGACAAGCCTCTGTATAAGCGGTGGATAAACCATCTTTGTCAACCAAGTTTGTTCAGCGGTCTTAAGTTAGTGGGGAAAAATCAGGCCAGGAATCAAAAAAAAATTAGGCCACTGTTTGTTTCTGAACGACGGAAATGGAACCTAAGGAAGCTAGTTAGTGAACCCTATATATATATATATATATATATATATATATATATATCTACAGTTCAAAGTTTGAGACTCTGATGATTAAAGAAAGACACTGGCATTGTAATTCACATTAATATAATTAAGTTTGAACAACATTAATCCAAGCGTGCAGCAGTGAACTGTTTTTTTGCCTTGTATTGAGACAAAGTAACCAATTGTCCACCTTGTTTTTAACTTAATATTAAATAGCTAGTTAGAATAGATGGTGCCCTAGATAACCAATTTTTCTAAGTTTTGTTTTTTTTAAAAAGGTCATTATTCAATGCTGATTACATCTGTACCAGTATAATGTACGATAAAGAAAAAGTTAGGAGAGTAAACATAACTTTGACATTATTTTGTATGAAATGGCCGTTTTAAGATGCACGGAGATAAATTATAAAATAAAGGAAAAGTGTTTGGCTAATTAGGTAATTATGTATGTAAAACTGTCTAGAAACATTCATCTAGAGAACACAGCTTGGCCTGCAGCTATACAGTATACACACATCTTCCCCCTCACTAAAAATATATATCATCTTAGCAGTCAGTTGACCATCTCTCTCTCTCTCTCTCTGCAAACACACACACACACACACAGATTGATCAAGGATGGAGAATGATCCGGCTGCCCTAGAAAATCCGGTTGCCCTAGAAAATTCTGATCAGGCAGTGAAGTGCACCTCAGATGAACAGGTTCCAAGCCAAGCTGCTGCTAGATCATACCAATGCTCTTTTTGCAAGAGAGGGTTCTCTAATGCACAGGCACTGGGAGGCCACATGAATATCCACAGGAAATACAAGGCCAAGCTCAAGCAAGCCGCGAACGAAGCTCAACAAGCAGTACTACTTGACATCCCAAAGACCACTTCTTTGTGTCCTCCGGTAGTACTAATCCCTAACACAGACGCAATTCAGCCATTGAAATTCATGTCCAGTACTACTACTGAAGAAAAAGTCACAACCAAGTGGCCATGGATGTCATCTTCTGAAAATGATGATGCTACTAAAAGAGATGAAATCCATGTGGGAGAGCATCGGAAGCTGCCACTTTTTGCTGAAACAACATCAAATACTGCTGATCAGAAGCTGAGCGTTCACGTCGCTGTGGAAACTAAAGAGGGGTTTTCGTCGAGCCATTGTTCATCTGGACCAGAGTTGGACCTTGAGCTTAGGTTGGGGAATGAGCCTCAAGAATCACCGGCTACTAAAAAGTTCTTTTGAATCCAAGTTTCGCTGTATTGCTATCACCAGTTACCCAAATCTACCTCTCTTACAAAATCTCTTACTATCTTTTTATGAATTTTTATGGTGTTCCTAATTAACCATGAACAATTAAAGGTTGTCTTGGTTTAGTCTTATGGTTCTTGTTCTATTTTCTTTTCCATTTGATATCTGTCCACAAGTATCAGAATTTGACATTCTGGTCATATCATTTTATTTGTTGATTAAACCTTCATTTATTTATTTAAAGAGAGTTATAACCTTTATTTGTGATCATTTGATCCAATACCCTTTAGAGAAGAATTGATCATTAATGTTTAAAATTTCGTTTGAATTTCATGTCATAATGACAGACTTGCTAATTTATGAGGTTTGAGTGGAGAATAATTGTTTAATTCTGTGATATATTAACCTATCCACCAGACACACACACACACACTAACAAGAACAATCCTCGTGGCAATGACGGACTTTATTTTGCATGAATGTGAGAATTATTTTTTCATAATTCAAGTGAGCTCGTTTTAGAATGAATATTCTTTACTTCCCTTAGTATCCCTATATTCTTGCCACGTACTTCTTCTTCTTCTTTATTTTTCCTTTTTGGAAAAAATAATAGAATGGGATCGAAGTAATATGAACTTTGTTAGAACGAGTCATCAATTGATTGATCCCCCTCAATATGATGCAATGCATCACTTATTCTGGGATGGTTTTCGGTTGTCGATCCTTACAAAGAAATGCATCATAAATTTTAATTTTCCTTCTTGTAAAGGACTATGGATTTTCTTTTTCATAATTAAGCTAGCTTACCAAATTAGTGTGTTAACATATTTGTGTTCCATTTCAACTTTTGAAATGACAAGAGCAATCCAGTATTCCAACAAAAAATGTGGATCCCCTCCAGTGCCACTCCGTAGAGTGCGCTATCATGTTCCCATCACATCGCTTATGCAACAACTCACATTGCTTATGTAATTAACAATTTTACATCGCTTGTAGCGTGTCGTACGTACTAGCTTGTGGCGTGTTGCACTAGCTAGCCATCTACATCCACCACAGGACAAAGGCACAGGATCTCCTCCAAAGGAGGGGATCCGGTCAGATTCATTCCAAAAAAAAAATATTTCCTTCAGCAACACGTACACTGATATTTTTTGCTTAGTTCTAGATTTTCATTTCCATTATTCCATATGCTCTTAAATAAGACAATTTCTGCATAAAGCAATTTGTACATGGCTCAACATTACTGGTTTTATCGGCAGCATCTGGATATGGCTACTGTCATCTTCATGGTTTAAAGCATCAGTTTATATTTAGAGTGAAGGATGGTATATAGTCCAAGCATCTTCCTTTTATTTGTGGACACACCATTCTTCTACCTTAGGTAAATCTTCTTCAAGATACTCCCTCTAAAAAAGGAGAACACGAAAGTTTCTCTAGTCTCTGTCTAACAGACCTCGTACGTAAGAAAAGTATTCAATAAAAAAATATAGGTTCAAGATGTGTAAGGATTACAAGGTCTTCTATACAGAGACTAAATCTTGGAATAACAGCTTTCCATGAAAGCAGTGAAATGAAATGATGGAAAATATTGTAAGTACTATTTCTTAATAGTAAATTATATATGGTAACTTTTGTAGTAGTAGCATCTCTCTAAATGCATGTAAATGACATGAATTAAACAAAGAGTTGCAGATTTGTCTATTTTTACTCAACACTATGATAAATCACCTAACTGAATTTACTCAAAATAAAATCTCTTGGAAACTTAAAAAAATACCACACATGATAACCTCGAGGAGAGAAGGGGTTCAAGTCCGGCGGGGGCAAAAAGGTAAAATGGTTACCAGTTATGTTGTATTCAAAGAGAATGGAGAGATGTGTAACTGTTCTGAGGTCCTCGTTTTTAATTTGGTCATTCACTACTTCCTCTAATTCTGTTGATTGCAATGGGTAGTCTCACAAAGATGATGTGAAGTGTGCATGTATATGTGTATTTTTTTTATACTTTTCCAGTCACGTACAGTATATTATCTTTATTCTCCCTTTCAGCTGGAAGTTTGTTTGTTGCTTCCCTCAGTGTTTGGGCTTCTTTGTTACTTTTTGGTCTACTTTGTTTTGTTGACCGGTGGGTTTAGGGTTTTAGACGTGGTTGTGATCGAACTTATAATTTTATGGGGAATGTCCCCTGTATGATGTACTCAATAGCTAGCTTTTGAGTTTATATTGACTTCACAAATGGAAGAGAAACATAAAAGTTGAACAATCTGGCTTTTCAGCCATTACATCCATCCGATGGATCGGAAGTTAATGTCGGGTCTCACAAGTCCGATATTAAATTTAGGGTGCGTTTGGCTGCATCAAATTTGAGCATTGAAATTATAATTTGTGAATTTGAGAAAGTTTTGGTTCAATTTTCTTAATTATTTTTTTTCAAATTCCATCCGTTTCAATTCCAAAACTTCAATTGCATGCAGCCGAACATTCCTTTAATTCAATTCCATTTGTGTAAATCTTAATCCAATCCAATCAATAAAATATGGATTGCGAGCCATAAACACCCTATGGGTTATTAAAAGTCCTTAATTTTTATTTTTAGTGTAGATAAGAGCCTCTTGTTACTGGAGTGATTAAAAGACTAAACTCACTAAAGTACACTTATGTATATAAAAAAAAAAAAAAAGTGAAAGACAAAAATAATGTAAAATGATCAAAGTATCCTAACCAAAAATGAAATTGTGTGTTTATATGTAAAAAAAACTTTAATGGTATTTTGGGGAGACTAAAAGGAAAGTTTAGAAAATTTGTTACTTAAATGTGATTTTCTGACATATTATATGAATTAAGCCATTCTTTGCCCATTTTTTTAAAAATGGACTTATATATTCAAAATAAAAGTTGAGTGTTATTTGCCCAAATTTAAAATATTATAAGTGTTTTTCTCATTTTACCCATAAATTATAGAGTTGGTTTCACGGTTTCAACTCTTCTAAACAGTCCATTATATGTTTTCTGACCATGGCCCAATGAAAATTACTAAATTAGTCAGTTGTAACCCATTTAACTAAATGCTTCTTAAGCTAAACCAATTCAATTAGAATAAATGACCAAGTGCTTAATAGTTGGTTACTGGTAGTCAGCCGATAAATATTTATGTTATAAACACAATAAATAAACCGTATATTGTGAGTATAATTTGCCACTTGGAAGTAAAATTTTGAAAAATTTGCTACTTAGTCATAATTAATAAGTAAATAACTAAATGGGTGTTGATATACACCTTTTCTTCTAAAATAAAATTACAAAAATATCCTTGAATTGATTTAAGTTGACCAAGTAATATATATATATATATATATTTTTTCTAAAAAGCTCCTTAAGAACCATCTCCTCCTCGAACAAGCATGAATCGGTTCTCGACAGCACCAGCTCGGCGGCGAGATACAACACATTGGATGCATTTCCTTCACTCGCATTCTCTACTAATTTGAATTCAAAGTATCAAATCAAAAACACAAATACATATGCAAATATATATGTGTGTGTGTGTGTTTCTGTGTGTGAATAGGATGTTGAGTTTTAAGCTTTATAGGGTTTACTTTTGACGGAAAGAAAGCTACGGAAGCTCTGGAAACTGGTACGGTGTAGATAGAGAGAGATGTGATGAGTCCAAAGGATTACTAAATTAAATTAGATGTCATTTAACCGTTCCAAAAAAAAAAAAATTAGTAATCATTTTGATGGCTTACAACGGATAAGAGAATCGTAATTAATCATTCCATTCATTTTCTTTCACTAGCATCCACGCAAAACAAAGAAGGTTTAAGAGAAAGCAAATTTCACGAGAGTTTAAGGGCGATTAGAATCGTAGAAACAGATAATCCAAGAGAAGGTGTATTCCACTAGAGTTTGAGGGCAATTTTGACATAAAAAATGTACGTAAAAACAAACCATTGCGTGGAGTAAGGATTTTTTTGTAATTTTATTTTTTAAAAAAATATTTGTGAATGGAGGGCCAAGACTTAATTGGAGCGCGAATGTAAAGTGACTAATTAAATTTTGGTATGAAATTCATACCACTGTCTCATCTTTTATACCATTGCAGCATTCTTTTCTACTTCTAGCCTGAGAAAAAAATATATAAATAAACAATTGAAGATTTCAAATTCTTAAAATAAAGTATTGCTATGTTTGGTGGCTTTTTGAATTTGGAATTTTTAAAAATTTAATATAAATTTTAAACTAATTTTTTTTTCAATTTTAAATACGAAGCACTGATTCGATACTTCCAAACATAACATTATATGTTGTTTACTTCTTATACATTTAAAAACTTCATAGTAAACTCCAATATAAATTCTCTTATGCTCAACAAATTGGGCTCCTGCAAGATGCATAAAACTAAACACATTGGGAAGGAAATAAAACTAAAGTGACCATGCATCAATGTAACCTTTTTATTTTTTATTTTTTTGTAACCATGAATAAAAACTCATTCGTCAAACAAAACTGAAAATGAAAACAAATAATAAAAGGACAAAAATGAGATTACAAGTATAATCACATGTCTAAATCAGCTACATCTCTAGTTTGACCACATCCTCCCCTAATTCCGCGACTAACATTCTTGCAAGCACATCTGCACTCTTTCTTGCATTCGTTCAGAGTGAAAATCTTGATCTGCAAGCATTCAAAGTAGCATTGTGACATGCATTTTGCCTTCGCCGCCGCCGCGTCGCTGCCGCGCCCTTTGGCCTGTGACAAGACGAGCAGCGCACACAACAATGCCATTGTCATCACTGCCCTCTTAGTCACAGCCATTGTATTGAGATGTACCCAATAACTTGTAAACTAAAATGAATGTTTGATTCTAATTCATTTTGAAAATGGAGCTGAGGATTTATAATTTATATGGGGAAGACACAATTAGTTTGGAATTTTTGAGTTTGGATGAAAAGAAGTCACAGTTGTCTGACAGTTGTTTGCTTGGATATAAATCATAGTTACAACTTACAGCATATATGACAAGTTATTTTTATCTCATAAGGGTTGGTTATATATGCCAAAAATAAGTAGCCATTAAAATCTGTGAAGGTTGGGGAAGTGTTAATTCCTGGTTATTCTAAGGGTTTTCTTGACTCCAAATGACAGAAGGTAAGGTGGTTGTGAGACACCAACTAATTTTCTGTTTATGTAAAGGATAACTAAATATATATATATTTATGGAAAGTAAATCAAATATATGTATTGTTCACCACTGGGGGTCCAATTAATTTTTGGTCATTTATGATGATGAAATGATAAAAAAAAACGTTTTTAAGAATAAGCATGTAAATTAGATTTTTTTTTTTTTTTTTTTTTTTTTTTTGTCATTGTAAATTAGATGATAAAAATACCTTCATTTGAATTAATTGTTTTGGTTAAATAAAATTTAAAAGGTGTCGTCAATGGTTATTAGCTTAAACATACAGTATGATTTTTCTCTCTTCTCTCTCTATCAATTCTTGAACTCTAAGTCTAAGGGTTGACCACACAAATCAACTCCTGAGCCAAAGAGGCCATAAGAGGACGAGAAATAATATAATTTCATTTTCTCTAAAGAGAAGGTTGAGTATTAGAGACGTTTTAGATTGTTTGGGATTATAAATATGTTAGTTTTATTCGACTTTTTAGGGACATGACATATTTTGATTGGCCGAAATCTTCTAATTCTGAATCATTAAATAATTTTTTTTTTTGTTAACAGTCAATATTGTGAATATATATATATATATATATATATATATATGAAGAGGTGTTGTAGTGCTAAAACTGTTGACTTGACACTAACTAAAGAGAGATGGGAGAGATGTAATCCCTTGTACCCTAATAATTTTCAATTAAAAATAGCTGATTACAATGAATTATTCAAGAGAATTTCTCCATTTACAATGGAACCCATGTAGGAGCAGGATTAGAGAGTACTGATCAAAAATAATTTTATCCATTTAATTTTTCTAATTTTACAAAAAATAGAGAGAAGGCCGGGGGTGGGGGTATATATTCATAGTCAAATTGGGAGTGATATATTCGAAAACTTTTTCTAATTTGACAAAAATAAATACGTCTCTAGAACTTTAGGCATGTATGTAGGTAAATGAAATTGAATTCAGGCCACTATTTCATCTTTCATGCAAGCCCTAAGCTTGACAGTGATATTCATGTCAGCCACTTGTTCTACATCACAGCATTCTCTTCTACTCCCTACCTGCATGCAAAATCAAGAATATGCATAATAAACATATAAACATACAATTCAATTAAGGCTCTGTTATGTATCACCAATATTGCTTTCATATATAATGAAACTTTAATTTATATATTTTTCAGACAAAAATAATAATAATTTCTTTTATATAGTATTTATGTATCTTAGTTCATAATTCCAAGTCTAAATTAGTAACAAGAACTTGTAATGGTAGAACACAATAGTTACGTGCCTACATTGCTATATAAGAATCAAATGATGAACACTAAGGACAAAAAAATAAATAAATAAATAAATAAAAGAGAGAAGATGAAAAGTTAAGATTAGTAAGAGGTCTTTGATGAAAAACCTGATGAATCCTAAATTGGAAAAAATAAAAAATAAAAAAATATAGCATTTTCCCCAATATGAAAAGAAAATATATAGGACCTGTTGCAGGCATTTTCCAAAAAAAAAAAAAATTGGTAATTTGAATGCACTTACCCCAATGTTATGCTTCATTATAGGTGAAAGGACATGAATCATGGAGATGTGATCAGCAGAATGACTGCCACTTAATGAACAAGCTGGTAATCTGCGTGGCCATTTTCGGGTATATCTTGTAACAATGTGGTTTCTTCTGATTTTCTGCACTGAATCAAAGAAGAAAAGATGGGGAGCTTCACAAGAACCATTGTGGATGTCGAGAAACCGAGTGCTGAACATGTAAGGCGGTCTTGCATCCATCCTCAACGGACCAAATGTCGCGAGAGGTCTATGTAGAATGCTTGGAGGGAAGATTTTCTCATAGATTTGAGCAGTATAGCCCCATGATATGGACAATGTCCAGTTCCTTTGCTTGTGGTAGCAGACTGATTGTTGCAGCAACCTAGATGCATCGGCTTTTGCAGCTTCCATGAGGTGGTTTACTGATTGGTGCCGGTTCATGGAGGGGAATAAGGGGTCTACAAAATCAAGGTGGTGGAGGGAGAGGAAAGGAGAATGTGGATGAGCTGAGAGAAGACCTAATATGTTGCGGCGTAGATCAATCTGCAATGACAAACATCAATGGAGCTTGTTAATTTGTGATCTCTTAAGGCCAATTAAAAAAAAAGATCTATTTTCACTTTTTTTTTTTATAGTTTTTCGAAAACAGTTTTCTGAAAATCAATCCAAATAGGTAAATAATTAGTTTCAAACTGAAGGCAAGCCAAAGAGCTAGGGATATATATATTTCATATGGTAAATGGTTATCCAAAAGCATAGGGTATTTTGTTTAAGTTGCAGTTTTCCTAAAATTGTTTCATGAGAACTCAATTAAGAAAAGACCTAGTTTCTGAAAACAGTTTTCTGAAGTCCTATTTCCATTAACTTTTATAGTTTCTGAAACAGTTTTCTGATAACCGGACCAAATAGGTGAATAATTAATTTTTCAAACTGAAGGCAAGCCAAAGAGCTAGGGATATATACATTTCATATGGTAGATGGTTATCCAAAAACACAGGGTCTGTTTGTTCAAGTTGTAGTTTTTCGAAAATTGTTTCATGAAAACTTAATTAAGAAAAGACCTATTTTTACTGTCTTTTATAATTTCTGAAAATAATTTTTCGAAAACAGAACCAAACAGGCGAATAATTTATTTACCTGATGGAACCCCTTTTCCTGAGTTAGAGAAACTCCAAAATCAGCAAGACATGACTGTAAAATATGGTCACTCCCATACAAAGATGGGTATCTCTTTATGCATAGATCTAAATTCTTCGCCAATGCCTCAGCAAGAGGGTAACTCAAAGCATATCCAGCTCCCCCAAACGCCATCTCAAAAGAGTTATGAAAATTCGACGAAACACATTCCGAATTGGTACCAATGTAGTAGTACTTGGTGTGATCATACTTTTTCAAAACGTCAACTAAATTATCAATAACAAGTAGTGTGTCATCGTCTGCCATGACATACCATCTCACTCCTCCTCTGTTTTCTGCCTCAAATGTCTCCTGAATCACGCGTAACATTCGAATGGCAAATGGCATCGCGTGCTTGTCATACTCTTTGTACCTGGAGGTGTCTTCAGAAACCCGAAAAGGGGGAGATGATGAAGGCCATGGAAGCAACTCATCCGTAGGCGGTCTGTCTAAAAAAAGATATCCCCTGGTTAAGTTTGGTTGCCACCATGCGTCAATGTAACCTTTCTTGTTCCTCCATGTAGTTGTTGAGCCAACTATTCCAAAAACAAGATGGCTAATATTAGTAGTAGTAGCAGAGTTAAGTGTATTGGCATACTGAGACCGTCTGTGCCTCGAGTTGTCGTCGAAGAGGGCTGAGGAGGAGAGGCAGCAGGGATGCAGGATAAACAAGAAAATATTGTAGATTACATATAGGACTAGTCCTGAAATAGCCAGAGATTTGCATAACCTTCCATTAATGATCAATTTATGGGATAAAAGTTGAATAGTGTCTCTTCTAAAGGCATTGGTAGGTGACATTATGAGATTGTAGAGCTTTAAACTGAACAGATTGAATCAGGAAAGTTAGATATCCAAAGACTGGTTTTTGAATTATTTTATGTGATATATAGCAGTTCATTTGTAGTAAGGTTTAGTTTGGGCTGCAAGCTCACGTGGGTTGTGTGCTTATTTGACATAGATAATGCTTTGCAGCAAATTAATATAACCATTCCATTTACATGCATTAAACTTCTTTATTGCATAAGTTTTATATGGGGACTATTTATGTTGGCCTATTTATTCTATTTAATTTAACTATTTATTTGTTTTGTTGGGGCTAATTAATTTGGCTGTTACAAGCTCGGATCTATTCTTGTTTGACTTTCACTTTACTTTTATCTCTTTTGTCCTTTCACATAAGAGTGGTGATACAAAAATGGAACACTAACACCCGAAAAGGTGCCAAACCTGATTTAACAACCACGTCATCTTCATAATTCCTAAACACCGCTAGAAGACATGGAAAAGTCAAACTCTCTCTTTTGATTTTCTCTCCCCAAATTCCTCTCTCTAGTCTCTTCATCTTCGGTTGATAGATTCTTCTCTTTCTTAGATTCTAGTAATCTCTTTCTTTCTTTGATTTTACAAAATTGAATCAATTCAAAAATCATGGTATTACAGTAGTAGCTCCTGGTATTTATACAGTTTATATGATAAAGTTTGTGCTTCTTTTAAGATATCACTTCCATCTCTAAATCAGAATTAGCAATGGAAATCTCCACATTTTTTCAGAAAAAATTCAAATTAAGGCTTATTTAGATTCAAATAGAAGATTAGGACTGTATATGCAAAATACGGTGATCGAAGAGAGGAAAAATGCTTATTGCTCTGTATCCCTTCGATTTTGTGAAATCTAAGAGAGAAATATATACACCAGAACCGTAGACAGAAAATTGAGGAAGAATCCATGAACATCTATGATCTGCTTTCAGTATATATGTAAATTTGTATGTGAGTGTATATATATATATATATTTATCTCTATGCATACCCACTTCTTTAGCGTATCTTCACACAATCCGTAGCTCCATGACCTCCATCAATTTCCCTTATTATTATTATTTTTTTTTTTAGGTATTTATTCTGGGTTTTTAGAATCTGACGTGGCTTGGCCACGTCGTATTCGGTTGTTTGTTCGGGGGATGCAATTCGGCCCCCTTATCATTATTCTTCACATAATTTACATATTTTATGGGCCCGAGAAAAAGACTTGGTACACAATAGGGTGAGAGATATGTTGTGATTCGCACCACCTAACTAAAAGTATTATTATTATTAATTTTTTTTTTTTTGGGTTAAATACTTGTATGGTATCGTGTGATTAGTCATGACTATGTAGTCAGTTTCAAATCATGTAAAAATTTCTTGCACCTGAAAAAGCTAAAAATACCTCTAAAAAGACTATAGGACGATGTGCTTGCAAAACAAATTAAATGCAAGTCCCACTTCCTCCATTTCTTCCTCTTTCTCTCACTCCCTCTTTCCCTCTCGAAAACAAATTAAAATATATATGGAGAACCAACCGAGCCAAATATGAAGAGCCACGAGTTAGTCCAAAGAGAGACTTTTTTGCACCGATTATACTACGTCGTTCGTGCTATTAACTAATTATATCTTGTCACATAAGTAAAATTGTTTTACTTTAGTGGTTTCAATCACTTCATATTAGTATTTAATCAATTGGTGATACCTTGTCATCCATACAACTAGAGCAATAAAGTACTTCTCGAGCCTAATGAGCTGGCTCTCTATATTTACAAAATGATACCTGATGCTCTTAGCGAAAGGGTGTAACTTTAATATTTAAATCCTTAAATAGAAGAAGAGGCATGCTACAATCTATTACGATTATTTGTGTTAACCAATGACCTAAAGCAATACAGAAATCTGTTCATCCTAGGGTGTGAAATTGTAATCAAAAGGAGTACTAGTCACTAATGCTCTGTTTGGTAGGATGGAAGAAATTTGGATGGAAATGAGAGGGGAATGGATAAATGAAACATCCTTACGGAAGTGTAACGACCTGAACCCGACGGTCCAAATCGCTAACCAGATCCTTATCCAAACTCGAGGTCAACTAAGGACACTACCGTCCTTTCTTATGTCAATACATAATAATAACAATAATAAAAATGGGATCATAGTTACAAAATATGTCAAAACAGTCCACTGACCCGTCAAAAAAAAAAACTGTGAAGGAGCGTCGTCCGCCACTTCCCTTTCGTATCCTAAAAAATGCTAATAATAAAATAGGGTAAGCCAACCACTCAATGGGAAGTGTCTAAGACACACCTCTTATAACCCCATGAATCCATACAAGGAATAGAATACAAGTAAATGGGATTATGCCTCGGGGAAAGCAAGTAAAGCAACGTGATATCAACAAATACATACGCAAGTCGTCTAACCACCAAATATACAATATATGCCAATGCAATGTCATGCCATGCAATGTCTCTCCCCATTTCTGAAACGATGCCGTTTCAACTTCCAAATTGTTAGTGCAATCTGACCCAAGGCACCTCCAAGGCGTTACGAATGAAGGGTTGACTAACTATCCACAACCACGAGGCACTTCCAAGGCGTCGCATTCGGCCTAGTTAGCTCAACCATACTCCCTTCTAGACTACACTAACAACACGGACCACTAGGCGCCTCCTAGACGTCCAGTTTTCGCAAACATCTTTGAAAATATTTTCCCATAAACAATTTCGTTTATTTTTAAAATAAACTTTTCCCTTTACTTTCCCAATGGTAATGCATGAATTATATAATTCCTTCAATGCTATGACAATATAAAATTTTCGTACATATCATCCACATCAATTAAATATGTTTAAAACATGAATTTTTACACAATATTGCATTCTCACATTTCTAATTCATGGCATTTTACATACTTTCAATTTGCAAATCCAATAACTTAAATACATAAAACTTAAATTAACATCATTTAGACATGTATCATCTCAACAAGGTAGCTATCACATAATCACACACTTTCTACAACATAAAATAAATAAAATAAAAAAAAAAATAAAAAACATGTATACAATATGTAATGTTCCCGATTTTTGCCATTTTTCATTTTTTAGAATTTTCAGATTTTTCGAGGGTATTTTCATCTTTTCTCATTTTACGTGCCGGACACCATGGGGTGTACCGGGTGTGTCCGAGAGTTGATTGGGGCATTTCATTGAGTTTAGGACTTTTTGAAATGTAAAGGTTGTTATTTCGACATTTTTCAGTTTTCCGGACCGGAAAGTCCCGTGTGGGACCCGCTACCAAAATTGTTGTGTACGGTAGTTTTGTTTGGGTCCAGTTGCACCTCATTTATTTTATTTTATATGTTTTGTGTGGTTGTGAATTATTATGTATATATATATGTGTGTGTGTGTGTGTGTGTGTATATATATTGGTGGTAAAAAAAAAAAAAAAAAAAGATATTTTAAATTGAGTAGGACCCACCTTATTACATTTTATGTAATAAGCCAAAGAGGTCATTACCAGACCTCAGCTTCTTTCTCTCTCCCCGCGGCTGCTTCCCTTTTTCCTCTCTGTTTTTCTATTTTTCTTTTTCATTTCATAACTTCAATCTTTGATTACTTCTCAATCATTTGGAGATTTTTGGTGCCGTTTGCGGCAAAACGGAGAGCACATCAAGATCTACACATTGATGTAAGCAATTCATCATTTGGCCAACCATAGGATTTTTGAAATTCTAGGGCTCAATTTGGGGGTTTTCTCATTTTTTGAGGTAGGGGTCTCTAATTCCCACTTTCTTGCACCTATCTGAGTTATGCATGCTTAATTTGAGTTGGTTGTCTCTTAAATGATTTAATTGTGTATATAAAACATGCAACTATGTGTATTTGTTGATTTACATAGAAAACATGCCTAGGTGTTGATTCCTTATGTCTATTGGGTGTTAACTTGCTAAAAATGTGTATATATGAAGAATGTAATTATGTGTATTACTGTGTGTATATGAAGCATGTAATTGTGTGTATTACTTTATTTGGATGGAAAGTATGTTTAAGTGTTAATTTTTCTATGCTCGTTATGTTGTTAATTTGCTAGAAATGTTATGTGAGAGCATATGAAATTTTCTTATGTAGAATTGTTGTAAAATGTAGAAAATTTCTGATGTAGAAATTTTCTTATGTTGTAAAATTGTTGAAGAATGATGAATACACATGTATGGCATGATATATCCATGCATGAGCATTGGGAGGAAAATAGGAATAATTTGTAATAGGAAACTTTGGGAAGAAGTTTTGATTAAATGATTTTGAGAAAACCCGGTCGCTGCGGAGTCACCAAAGGGCCGGTGTGTTAATGTAACATAGAGAAATTAGGTGAAAATACCTTAGCGTGGTTAAGCTAGCTGGGCCCCAAATGACGCCGCCGAGGTGCCAAGGGTCAGGGACAGTAGTCAATCCTTCTCTCGTGTCGCTACGGAGTCACCAACGGACGGGTTATATTAACAGTTTGAAAAGTGATGAATGATTTTGAAAATGGGGAATGACATACATGGCATTACATCTATGGCACGACATTTGCTTGTTTTGAACTTGAAAAAAAAAATAATAATAATAAAATAAAATTAGATTTTGTGATTTCCCCTAGCTTAGTATGATCCCACTCCCTATTGTCCTATTCATTATTTGGATTCACGGGGTTACAAGAGATGTGTCTTTGGCACCACCTACTGAGCAAATTGCTCACCCCATTTTATTTAACATTTTTCGGGGCCGGAAAAGGAAACAGTGGATGCCAATCCCTCTCAACCATGAAGAGGACTAGAGATCTATTTTGACACCTTTTGCGAATTAGTTAATCTTTTGTAAAGTCACAAAATGTGGAAAAAAGTATTCATTTTTGCAAATCATGGCCATGTAACTTAACTAAAATACTTGATTACTTTTGATGTAATTTGAGACTATGTAAATGCTTATGTTGAATGGGAGGATGATGTT